ATATATACCCGTGGAATCATCCGACTCCACGGAGTGCCCGTTATGATTGTATCAAATAGAGATCCCAGATTCGCCAGTCGATTCTGGCACAGTTTACATGAGGCGATGGGCACGAAGTTAGAGTTCAGTTCAGCCTACCATCCGGAGACAGACGGTCAGTCAGAGAGGACTATTCAGACACTTGAGGATATGCTTCGCGCTTTGGTTGTTGACAAGGGTGCTAAGTGGGAGTCGTTGTTGCCGTACGCTGAATTCGCGTATAACAACAGCTATCATTCTTCCATTCAGATGGCTCCTTAGAGGCACTTTATGGTCGCAAGTGTCGTTCCCCTCTCTATTGGGACGACGTTGGAGAGCGGCGAGTACTCGGTCCTAAGATGATCGAGGAGACAGCGGAGCAGGTCGAGTTGATTCGGCAGAGACTCAGGACAGCACAGAGTCGACAGAAATCTTCTGCCGATCATCATCGACGAGACATTCAATTCAAGGTTGGCGAGCCATCCTTTCTCAGAGTTCGTCCGATTCACGGAGTTGTGCGATTCGGAAAGAGAGGGAAACTACACCCTCGTTTCATCGGTCCGTTCGAGGTTCTCGAACGAGTAGGCGAGGTCGCGTATCCATTAGCCCTACCTCCCGAGTTATCAGGTATTCATAATGTATTCCACGCGTCTATGTTACGTAAGTACGTGTGAGACCCCGATCATGTCATCCCGCATACGGATATTCAGGTTCAGCCAGATCTATCGTACGAGGAGCGACCGGTAGCTGTACTAGACCGTCAGGTTTGTCGGCTCCGGAAGCGAGATATTCCCCTCGTGCGTATTCAGTGGGATCGCCACGGAGCTACTTGGGAGGAAGAGTCCGATATTCGCGCTCGCTTTCCAGATTTTCAGTTCTGATGTACATATTTCTTTATCCTATGTACATAGTTCATGTATTATCAGTCATGTTTGAATTTCCGAGGACGGAAATTTCGTAAGGAAGGAGGATTGTAATATCCCGATATTTTATCGGTATAAATTATGTTTTAATTCCGGTATAATAATGTTAACGTTTATTATTTTCGGAATTAATTATTTTCAGTTGAGATTACCGAAATCTAATTTCGACGTACCGTTTACGTTCGGAATAATTTTGGTAATTAAGTATTATGCTTAAAAGTTAATTAGCCTAACTAAGTGATTAATTAAGAAATTAATCACATCATTAGGGCTTAAAGCCGTAGGGACTTATATTAAGTTCCTAAGTTCATCAAAAATTTTCTAAGTTAAGGAAATTATGTCCAAAGCCGTCCAATTACTTCAATTTCCTTAGCCGAAGTTTTAAGTAATTTGTCCCACATTTTTCTTCCCAATGGCCGTGACTTCCTTCATGTTAAGGATTTAATCCATTTTCCTTCCTTAAGGTAGTACACGTGTCATACTAAGGAGTGTAATGAAGATTAGTCACCCTAAGATTAGGTCTTAAGATGGCAATTGGCAAATGCCTAGCTAGGCCACGATTGGCTATCGTCATCACCCCAAATGGGGGCTTCCCTCGGCCATAAAATATATAAGTGGTTGGATGAAAAATTTTTACCCATCTTCACCATATAAGTTCATGACTTCCGCCCCAAATTAGTACTTAGTAGTTCAGTGAAAATTTCCTCAATTCCTCATAATCATCGCACGACAAATTGACGGGCTACCGCACAGCAAGTCACGAATAACCGGAGCTAAGGAGATTTCGATCAGTTGGGGTGATCCGATCGAGTAATTGCAGAGGTATATCCTCCTCAGCTTATATTC